GTGATCCTGGGAAGCCGGCGGGAGCCGCAGCCGGCCCCCCGTTAGGCGTTCCCACCCGCGCGCTGCCTCTGCGCCGCGCACATTCGCGACGCAGGCTTGGTTACACGATTGCACGCTGTTATTAACTCACACAAACAACAAAAAGCAGCGCCTTCAAGTGACACATCTGAAAGATTAGAAAAGGCTGCAGGTAAGAACGTAAAAATCTTAATTCAGTCCTTAAATACGTGTGCAATATGAATCTTACTCCCAGGGGGTTCTTACTCTGCCCCGTTGATTTCTGAGTGCTTGCCTGCCGTCGCTGTGCAATGGCAACGTTCCTCTGCGAGCGTCGATTCTGTCTCTTTTTTTTCCTCCTGTGTGCAGTGAAGGCCTCGTTTCTCACAAGATAGTTCAGTCTTCAGAAAAAGGTCCGCCGTTTCCCTGTGGGCAGTTGCTCTAGTGTTCCTCCCTCGGACACCTGGGTTCCCCCACGTTTCGGGTCCCTTTCCTGTGAACGGGAGCAATTTTACGCGTTTCACGGGAAGAGTCAAAAAGCAGCTGCCAGTTACAGGTGCTCGGTTGGCGACTGCTGGGACCCCCTCGCTGCCCCGAGCGGCCGGTCGGTCCCGGCCGCGTTCTCTCGGCTCCTCACCCAGCTCCTCCCTGCGCACACCATCCCATCATGTTTCTAACCACCACAGCCTCACGTTTATTCCTTACAGCTCACCTAAATCCACCCTCTTTCAGTTTAAAGCCGTTACCCCTTGTCCTATCACAACAGGCCCTGCTAAAAAGTCTCTCTCCATCTTTCTTTAAGCCCCCGTTAAGTACTGAAAGGCCGCAGTAAGGTGTCCCTGGAGACTTCTCTTCTCCAGACTCAACAACCCCAACTCTCTCAGCCCTTCCTCAGAGGAGAGGTGCTCCAGCCCCGTCCTGGTGTAGCCTGGCTGGGTGCCAGGTGCCCGCCAAAGCCGCTCTGTCACCCCCCATCCTCAACTGGACAGGGGAGGAAAAAAAAAATATATGATGGAAGGGTCGTGGGTCGAGATAAGGACAGGGAGAGATCTTCAGAGAGCTTCACCTGCCCTCAGAGGACAGCACACAGCCGGCACCCTCAGTCCCTCTTTGGTGAGAGGGAGCCTCGGGGTGCCATCCAGCTCGCCCGCTGTGACCACCCTCAGCCTGTCACCCGCTGTGAGGGAAATGGCGACAGCAAGGGTCAAATCTGTGCTTCCCTGAGAGGTGGTCTTGTGGGTGGACAGCGTGGCCTCTCCCAACCCAAAAGCCTTGGGGAGCCCACCGCTGGTGTAGCAGGAAGCATTCTGGCACGCCAAGCCTGTGCTGAACCTTCAAAAAGAGGAATGAAATGGCCACCGTCCCGTTCCCTGGAGATGCAAAGGAACTGATGGAGGTTGCAGGGCGAACTGGAGCTTCCCAACAGGAGAAAAGCCCCTCTGCAGATGATGGGTCACCGGTGCAAGGTGCTGGGGTGAGCTGAGCACCTCATTAATCTCAGAGTTACCTGTGAGACTCTCAGCCAGCCCCTTTGGATTTAAACCATCAGTTCGCACCCGTCTCCTCCATCATGGGAGCAACGAGCTTCAGTCAGGTTGAGAGCAAAACCTCCAGCTGAGCTCCCCAGCCGTTCACCGTCCACAAAGGGACCTCCTCCCCGCAGAAGAGCCTTGGGGAAAACCAAGCCTTTTGCCAAAACGTCTCTCCATGCCCCAATTCTGAGGGAGAAAAAGGGCAGAAGACATTTAAGAAAACTATATTTAAAAAAGCAAAAAAAAGAAAGGGGAGGGGAACCCCCACCACTGATTCTGCATTCCACCACTGCGCAAACTGCCGCGAAATTCTCATCGTGGTGGACTGTGTATCTCTGAGCATCCATTTTCCCAAAGGTCTCCTTTATTCAAACAATAGTTCATGAAAATAGTTCGGTCTGTGGGAAGTCTTGCCCAGAACAGAGCAAACCGGTGTCCAAAGGCGCAGGTGCCTTGTTTCAACGTAAAAAGCAAAATTGTGGGGGGTGAGGCCGGAGAGGAGACGGCCTGTTTACTCCTCCAAATAGCCTTAATGCAACCTTTACATTTACCAAATAATTCAGTTATCTGGAACTGTAAACCCAGCACTGCTGGGAGCTCTGCCCGTGTCGGGGCGCTGCCCTCCTGCTGCCGACCGGCTGGAAGGAGGAGCGGCCGCTGCACCCCTCCGCAGAAAGGACATTTTCAAGGAAGCATAAACAGCAAGCTTTCTTACTTTCTCCATTTAAGACAGCTTTCCCAGAATATATTAAATTCTATCAGGATCCGAGCTTTTTCCGTTAGCTCCTCAGAACCGTTTGAGTGCATCAATGTGGAGGGAAAACGAGGGACACAAAGCGGTTGTGCAAGAGCAGAAACTGGATTCCGGGCTTAGCGTTCAGCAAAGCTGGGATCTCAGTTTACAGGAGAGACTGCTGCAGCGCGAGGAGCACGCACACAGGGATTAGAGTCCCAAAGCACCATCGGGAATGGACACTGTCCTTTCGTAATCCGTGTATTTTACTCCCAGTGCAGATTTATCTTGATTAAAGTTACTCTTCTGGTAGTTTTCCACCACAACTTACATTCATACAGAATCACAGAATGCTCGGGGTTGGCAGGGACCTCTGTGGATCACCCAGTCCAACCCCCCTGCCGAAGCAGGGTCACCTACAGCAGGCTGCACAGGACCACAGGCGGGGCGTGAATATCTCCAGAGAAGGAGACTCCACAGCCTCCCTGGGCAGCCTGGGCCAGGGCTCCGTCACCCTCAGAGGGAAGAAGTTCTTCCTCGTATTCAGCTGGAACTTCCTCTGCTTCAGTTTGTGCCCGTTGCCCTTAGGTAGAGCTATAGATACAGAGCAGACCTTCGGTAACTCCGACCTCTCAGTTAATTACATTTGCAGAACTTGGGCATCTCCTGTTCTTTTCCAAGACTGAGGTCGGTTACTGCAGGAGACTGTGACCGCGCTGGTCATGACAGCTGTGACATTCGTCATTCCTCACCTCTTGCACAACGTCCCTCTCCACGAAAAGGCGTCTCAGCAGCTGAACGCCAGCACAGCAGCAGAAGAGTCACAGATGCTCACCAGCACCCATCATAAATCAAACAGGAGACTCCTTGCAAGGTCCGTGGGTCGTCAGGGTGTCTGATGCCATGGGTTTGGGCGTGCGACCGAGGCAGAGGATGGTCTTCACGGCTACCAACGGGCTGCTGGTTCCCAGCGATGCCGTTCGCGCGCCGGCCTGCGCCTGCTGCTGGGCTTCCCGAACCTCTGCGGCCGCGTGGAAGAGCTCAAGGGAGGGGGCGGCACGCCGGT